TGATCAGTTCGTAGCATTTAGTTGGGTCACAAAAATACACTATTTTAATGAAAACATCAGTCTCGATGCCCTGAGGCATTAAAAGACTACGTTAGCATCGCTATGGAGTTTAAGGCGACGCAGAGTTTTTTAAGGGGGCTTGTTGAACTTTAAATTGAAAAGTTGGTGCATGTTGGTACGTGGTACGCCTTGTTAGCTCCTCATCCCCTCCACTAAACCGCCCCACTACCTCCTCAGCCCCTCCTTTACTCACCACCTCCTCATCCCCTCCACTAAACCGCCCCACCACCTCCTCAGCCCCTCATTTACTCACTACCTTACCTCCTCATCCCCTCCAGTAAATCGCCCCACTGCCTCCTCAGCCCCTCCTTTACTCACTCCCTCCTCATCCCCTCCACTAAACCGCCCCACTACCTCCTCAGCCCCTCCTTTACTCACTACCTCCTCATCCCCTCCACTAAACCGCCCCACTACCTCCTCAGCCCCTCATTTACTCACTACCTTACCTCCTCATCCCCTCCAGTAAATCGCCCCACTACCTCCTCAGCCCCTCATTTACTCACTGCCTCCTCATCCCCTCCACTCAACCGCCCCACTACCTCCTTACCCCCACCACTATACCTCTCCAGCTCACTTAAGTGTCCCAACGTGCAGAAACAAAGAATAAATGATAAATTTATTTGAAAAGTGTAGTGATTAAGTGTGTCCATATGTCTTCTGGTCGTTGTTTAGGAGTGTCCATATATCTAGTGGTCGTTGTATAAGGGTATCGATATGTTTTCTGGGCGCTGTTTAAGTGTGTCCTGTGTCTTGTGGTCGTTGTACAAGTGTGTCCTTTGTCTCGTGGTCGTTGTACAAGTGTGTCCTATGTTTCGTGGTCGTTGTAAAAGTGTGTCCTATGTCTCGTGATCGTTGTAAAAGTGTGTAACCTATGTCTCGTGGTCGTTGTACAAGTGTGTCCTATGTCTCGTGGTCGTTGTATAAGTGTGTCCTATGTCAAGTGGTCGTTGTATAAGAGTGTCCATATGTCTAGTGTTCGTTATTTAAGAGTGTTCATATGTCTAGTGGGCGATGTTTAAGAGCGAACATATGTCAAATGGTCGTTGTTTAAGAGTGTCCATATGCCTAGTGTTCGTTGTTTAAGAGTGTCGATATGTCTAGTGTTCGTTGTTTAAGAGTGTCGATATGTCTAGTGTTCGTTATTTAAGAGTGTACATATGTTTAGTGGTCGTTGTATAAGTGTGTCCTGTGTCTTGTGGTCGGTGTACAAGTGTGCATCCTATGTTTAGGGGTCGTTGTATAAGGGGATCGATATGTTTTCTGGTCGCTGTTTAAGTGTGTCCTGTGTCTTGTGGTCGTTGTACAAGTGTGTCCTATGTCTCGTGGTCGTTGTACAAGTGTGTCCTATGTTTCGTGGTCGTTGTAAAAGTGTGTCCTATGTCTCGTGATCGTTGTAAAAGTGTGTATACTATGTCTCGTGGTCGTTGTATAAGAGTGTCAATATGTCTAGTGGTCGTTTTAAAAGAGTGTCAATATGTCTAGTTGTCGTTGTTTTAAAATATCCCTATGTATAGTGGTCGTTGTTTAAGAGTGTCCATATGTCTAGTGTTCGTTGTTTAAGAGTGTGTTCGTTATTTAAGAGTGTACATATGTCTAGTGTTCGTTGTTTAAGAGTGTCCATATGTCTAGTGTTCGTTATTTAAGAGTGTCCATATGCCTAGTGTTCGTTGTTTAATAGTGTCCATAGGTCCAGTGGTCTTTGTTTAATGGTTTCGACATGTCTCTTGATTGGTGTTTTAGAGTGTCCGTATGTCTTATGGTCGTTGTTTAGGAGTGTCCATCTGTCTAGTGGTCGTTGTTTAATAGTGTCGATATGTTAAGCGGTCGGTGTTTAAGTGGGTCCATTTGCCATCTGGTCGTTGTTTAGGAGTGTCCATATGTCTATTGATAGTTGTTTAAGAGTGTTCATATGTCTCCTGGTCGTTGTTAAGGAGTGTCCATAAGTCTATTGATAGTTGTTTTATAGTGTCCATTTGTCCTCCGTCTTAGTCTTAGGAGTGTTCATATGTCCAGTGGCCGTTGTTTTATAGTGTCCATATGTCTATTGATAGTTGTTTAAGAGTGTTCATTTGTCCTCCGGTCGTTGTTTAGGAGTGTTCATTTGTGCTCTGGTCGTTGTTTAGGAGTTTCCATAAGTCTAGTGTTTGTTGTTTAAGAGTGTCCTATGCCCAGTGGTCTTTGTCTTGGAGTGTCCATATGTCCAGTGGTCGTTGCTTAATTGTGTCTATATGTCTAGTGGTCTTTGTTTAGGAGTGTCCATTTGTCTTCTGGTCGTTGTTTGGGAGTGTCCATTTGTCTTTTGTTCGTTGTTTAGGAGTGTCCATTTGTCTTCTGGTCGTTGTTTAGGAGTGTCCATTTGTCTTTTGTTCGTTGTTTAGGAGTGTCCATATGTGTAGTGGTCGTTGTTTTAGAGTGTCCATATGTGTAGTGGTCGTTGTTTAAGAGTGTACATATGTCTAGTGGGCGATGTTTAAGAGTGTTCATATGTCTAGTGGGCGATGTTTAAGAGTGTTCATATGTCAAGTGGTCGTTGTTTAAGAGTGTCCATATGTCAAGTGGTCGTTGTTTAAGAGTGTACATATGTCTAGTGGGCGATGTTTAAGAGCGAACATATGTCAAATGGTCGTTGTTTAAGAGTGTACATATGTCTAGTGGTCGGTGTTTAGGAATGTACATATGTCAAGTGGTCGTTGTTTAAGAGTGTACATGACTGTGTTCAGTGGTCGTTGTTTAAGAGTGTACATATGTCAAGTGGTCGATGTTTAAGAGCGTACATATGTCTAGTGGTCGATGTTTAAGAGTGTACAAATGTCTAGTGGTCGTTGTTTAGGAGTGTACCTATGTCAAGTGGTCGTTGTTTAAGAGTGTACATATATGTCTATTGGTCGTTATTTAAGAGTGTACATATGTCAAATGGTCGTTGTTTAAGAGTGTTTATATGTTTAAAGGTTGTTGTTTAATAGTGAACATATGTCTAGTTATCGTTGTTTAAGAGTGTACATATGTCCAGTGGTCGGTGTTCAGGTGTGTTTATATTTGTATAGGTCGGTGTTTAAGATTGTCCTATGTCTAGTTGGCGCTTTTGGAGGAGGTTGATATGTCTAATCGGCGTTATTTAAGACTGCCCATTTTTTATTATAGGATTATTTAAAAGTATCCATATATAGTGGTCGTTGTTTAAAATTAGCCAGCTGATGTGTCTTGGAAAAGTCTGATATGTACTTAAGTATTCTTCATTACCTTTGGTTTCTTACCATACAAATACTTATTAGCCAGTACAAAAGTGTACTGATCCCAAGAAAAGCTACGTTACGTACAAAGTAGATTTTAATTATGGTATTTCTCCTGAAAAAATCCATATTTATGACATAACATGCTCCATACAAAGTGTTTCTACGATTTGAAATTTGCATCTATATCATGTGTCGCGTCAAGTTGCGTTGAACATGCAGTGATACGGAAGTATACGCTATCGTATTGATTACTCCCCAACTAAAGGGGTGCTACAATGTAGCAACATTTATAGGGGGCGCTACTTTATGAACAACTCAGGACGTCGGCTGGTCTCGTTCACACGAGCACAGTTTGTAGTATCGAAATGGTATTTACTGTGTGCACAGCAGATTGTGCCATTTTGTTATGAATTTTTGCGTCTAAAAACAGCGAAAAGACGAAACGATAAAGAACAAAATACCAATCAAAAACTAGTTTGTTTGGGTTACAAATCTCGTTCTTTCGTCTTCTCGATTTATCGATTCCCCAAAGCGACATTCAGAAATTATGCAGAGTCTGTTTTTCATAATTTCCCCAATAGGTAATGATATTGAGCGAGTCTTAAGTGTCGTCTTTTCGTTTTTTTGTTACCCTGAGCATTTGAACGGGTGCCATATTAAGGCTGGAAGATTCATATACAATACTAATATTTCGATTCGCAGGAAAAAGAAATAACAAAATAGTGCAAATACATTTAAGCTGCCATATACAAGATCGTTAGAAACAGCAAACGGCGACACATTTAAAAAAAATGAAAAACATTGGACGTAAAAGCTAATTTTACATATGTTGTATATTTTCCCTGTTTCAGTAATGCTGTGTTCATGTTCCCAGAGAGAGTGATTTCTAGTTTTCGTGCAACAGTGTTCACTTTGTCGCAAAACCAAAAGCTATGTGCAGCGCAACATATTCGGCGTTCGGCAATGAAATGGCATCAAAACACCCGTCAAGTGTCCTTGTACATGCGTAATACGAGGCTGGCAACTAGAACACAGTGTACCCGTTGCCCTAGTACTGTATGCCCTGATACTGTACCAGTTGCCAAAGTAATATCAAATGTGTCAGTGTCACGTGTTTGGATACGGTACGAGTTTCCCAAATACTGTATCATTTGACACGCGCCCCGGTTTACCCGTTGCTCTAGTGATGTAACATATGTTTCCTGCCTTTCCCTTCGGTAATATGTACATGTATGTCGTTTTACATCACTTCGGCAGTTAGGTAACGGTTTATAGGAAGATTAGCCCTAGATATCAGTTGACAGAAATTGTATTAAATAAGTAGCCTGAGACCTACCAATATCATTAGGTATTTTATGTAGATGCTTTTATGATATTCACTCACGATCATGGGATGGGTGCGTACGATGACATACTAAGATCTTTGCAAATCAATTATGTACAGACCCCGTGGGTAATCAGCGGGATTCCGTCAATGAGACACGTGACAAGACCTGGGTCCTATATCAGATTTGAGTTTACCATGACATTTAACTAATCACTCTTAGACCTTGCATCATCATTTCGCTGTCGATTTTTAAGTGTTTACTAAGTGTACTGTAATTTGCATAATATCGTGAGGTTTTCGTAATCAGGGGTTCGGTTTTTTTAAATATTCTATGAAGCACAAGCAATACATTTTGATGTAATTAGTTAGAGGGTAACAAAATGCCGGTATGATGTATGCCATTCCATGATCGTATGAGACGCGTTGTTGTCGGTGTAATCGGGGAGTTTCCTATATGATTCCTGTTTATGAGCATTGAATTATGCTGTAGCTCTGTGGTCTGCTGTTACCCCTTGTAATCCATTATATCCAACTGGACATGGTATAGCTCTCTGGTCAGCTGTACCCCTTGCAACCCATTATATCCCATTGAATAAGCTGCAGATCTGTGGTCTGCTGTACCCCTTGTTACCCATTATATCCAATTGGACATGCTGCAGCTCTGTGTTCTGCTGTATTCCTTGTTACCCATTATATCCGACTGGACATGCTGCAGCTCTGTGGTGTGGTCTGCTGTATTCCTTGTTACCCATTATATCCAATTAGACACGATGCAGCTCTGTGGTCTGCTGTACCCCTTGTTACCCATTATATCCAATTGGACATGCTGCAGCTCTGTGGTGTGGTCTGCTGTACCCCTTGTTACACTTTATATCCAATTAGACACGATGCAGCTCTGTGGTCTGTTGTACACCTTGTAACCCATTATATCCATTTGGACATGCTGCAGCCCTGTGGTCTGCTGTACCCCTTGTTACCATTATATCCAATTGGACATGCTGCAGCCCTGTGGTCTGCTGTACCCCTTGTTACCCAATATATCCAATTGGACATGGTGCAGCTCTGTGGTCTGCTGTACCCATTGTTACCCAATATATCCATTTGGACATGCTGCAGCTCTGTGGTTTGCTGTACCCCTTGTTACCCAATATATCCAATTGGACATGGTGCAGCTCTGTGGTCTGCTGTACCCATTGTTACCCATTATATCCAATTAGACATGGTGCAGCTCTGTGTTCTGCTGTACCCATTGTTACCCATTATATCCAATTAGACATGCTGCAGCTCTTTGGTCTGCTGTACCCCTTGTTACCCATTATATCCATTTGGACATGGTGCAGCTCTGTGGTCTGCTGTCCCCCTTGTTACCCATTCTATCCAATTAGACATGCTGCAGCTCTGTGGTCTGCTGTACCCCTTGTAACCCATTATATCCATATGGACATGCTGCAGCTCTGTGGTGTGGTCTGCTGTACCCCTTGTTACACTTTATATACAATTAGACACGATGCAGCTCTGTGGTCTGTTGTACACCTTGTAACCCATTATATCCATTTGGACATGCTGCCGCTCTGTGGTGTGGTCTGCTGTACCCCTTGTTACCCAATATATCCAATTAGACACACTCTGTGGTCTATTGTACCCCTTGTAACCCATTATATCCATTTGGACATGCTGCAGCTCTGTGGTGTGGTCTGCTGTACCCCTTGTTACCCAATATATCCAACTGGACATGCTGCAGCTCTGTTGTCTGCTGTACCCCTTGTTACCCATTATATCCAATTAGACACACTCTGTGGTCTACTGTACCCTTGTAATCCAGTATATCCAATGAGACACGCTGCAGCTCTGTGGTCTGCTGTACCCCTTGTTACCCATAATATCCAATTAGACACACTCTGTGGTCTACTGTACCATTGTAATCCAGTATATCCATTTAGACATGCTGCAGCTCTGTGGTCTGCTGTACCCCTTGTTACCCAGTATATCGCATTGGACATGCTGTAGCTCTGTGGTCTAATGTACCCCTTGTTACCCAGTATATCGCATTGGACATGCTGCAGCTCTGTGGTCTGCTGTACCCCTTGTTACCCAGTATTTCGCATTGGACATGCTGTAGCTCTGTGGTCTGCTGTACCCCTTGTCACCCAGTATATCACATTGGACATGCTGTAGCTCTGTGGTATAATGTACCCCTTGTCACCCAGTATATCACATTGGACATGCTGCAGCTCTGTGGTCTGCTGTACCCCTTGTTACCCAGTATATCGCATGGGACATGCTGTAGCTCTGTGGTCTAATCTACCCCTTGTTACCCAGTATATCGCATGGGACATGCTGTAGCTCTGTGGTCTAATCTACCCCTTGTTACCCAGTATATCGCATTAGACATGCTGTAGCTCTGTGGTCTGCTGTACCCCTTGTCACCCAGTATATCGTCTGCTGTACCCCTTGTTACCCATTATATCGCATTGGACATGCTGTAGCTCTGTGGTCTAATGTACCCCTCGTCACCCAGTATATCACATTAGACATGCTACAGCTCTGTGGTCTGCTGTACCCCTTGTTATCCAGTATATCGCATTGGACATGCTGTAGCTCTGTGGTCTAATGTACCCCTTGTCACCCAGTATATCACATTGGACATGCTGCAGCTCTGTGGTCTGCTGTACCCCTTGTAATCCAGTATATCGCATTGGACGTGCTGTAGCTCTGTGGTCTAATGTACCCCTTGTCACCCAGTATATCACATTAGACATGCTACAGCTCTGTGGTCTGCTGTACCCCTTGTAATCCAGTATATCCAATTAGACATGCTGTAGCTCTGTGGTCTAATGTACCCCTTGTTACCCAGTATATCGCATTGGACATGCTGTAGCTCTGTGGTCTGCTGTACCCCTTGTAATCCAGTATATCCAATTAGACACGCTGCAGCTCTGTTGTCTGCTGTACCTTGTTATCAATTATATCATAATGGACATGCTGCGGGGTTTGGATTTACTGCACCCATTGCAGTACTAGGAATCTTTATCATTTCCTTATTTTTACATAGGTACAGATACATGTAGTTCACCTACTGTTTGCCTATATTATTAAGTGGGACGAATTGTTTTGTACTCGTTAACAGTTATAATTAATAATACAAGATAGCGCTTGTGATTTATTGAAAGGGTTCATAATTATAATTTGATGTCTTTTACATGTCATGTTCGACATTGGCACCATTATATGTTGATGCCAGTTGTTATTGAGCATATATGCTGATAGAGGTGTTCATCTGTAGGGTATTTTTTACCCAGCAATGCGCGCACTTTCGTGACACCTTTCGGATGCTGATAATAAAGATTTGTTTCTGTACTGGGAAACCTAATATTCTATAGAGTTTAATTTGTTTTGCTATTTGTTCAATAATAGTAAAGAATTTACTGCACATTTCAGACTAAGAGATGCAATTAAATTGCTCTTCAGAAGATATATATGTATGTAACTGTGTACACGATTTGGTATAAAAAGGCTCGGTATTCACCGTTTTTCCTATGTCTGTTTCTCACTCCGTCGACCGCTCGGATCTATGACAGATTGGATATCTATTTTGTAATAATTTCATTTGTAACAGAGTGCTAGACATTCTTTGTTCCCAAGTTATAGCCAGGCAATATAGAAGAACATTTAATCCGAAAGTTAAAGTAAAGCTTGGGATAGAGAACAATCTGTAAAATGTGAAAATTGACAACAATCTCCTGAAGACTGAGACAAAACAATTTTGAGAAATATAATGATTACAACACATCATAGTAAGCAAGTTACTTTCTAAGACAGGGCACAATGTAAACGACTCAAAAAAAAACAACACTGGAATAGTTTGTATAATTGCAATCCCCGAAAAAGATCACCACAGGGACAGTCAGAAAACTACACACCTCGACAAATACCACCACAGGGACAGTCAGATAACTACACACCTCGACAAATACGACCACAAGGACAGTCAGATAACTACACACCTCGACAAATACAACCACAGGGACAGTCATAAAACTACACACCTCGACAAATACCACCACAGGGACAGTCAGATGACTACACACCTCGACAAATACCACCACAGGGACAGTTAGATAACTACACAACTCGACAAATACCACCACAGGGACAGTCAGATAACTATACGCCTCGACAAATACCGCCACAGGGACAGTCAGATAACTACACACCTCGACAAATCCAACCACAGGGACAGTCATATAACTACACACCTCGACAAATACCACCACAGGGACAGTTAGATAACTACACATCTCGACAAATACCACCACAGGGACAGTCAGATAACTACACACCTCGACAAATACCACCACAGGGACAGTCAGATAACTACACCCCTCGACAAATACCACCACAAGGACAGTCAGATAACTACACACCTCGACAAATACGACCACAAGGACAGTCAGATAACTACACACCTCGACAAAGACCACCACACGGACAGACAGATAATTACACACCTTGACAAAGAACACCACAGGGACAGTCAGATAACTACACACCTCGACAAAGACCACCACACGATAACTACACATCTCGACAAATACCACCACAGGGACAGTCAGATAACTACACCCCTCGACAAATACCACCACAAGGACAGTCAGATAACTACACACATCGACAAATACAACCACAGGGACAGTCATATAACTACACACCTCGACAAATACCACCACAGGGACAGTCAGATAACTGCACACCTCGACAAATGCAACCACAGGGACAGTCAGATAACTACACCACATCTCGACAAATACCACCACAGGGACAGTTAGATAACTACACACCTCGACAAATACCACCACAGGGACAGTCAGATAACTACACACCTCGACAAATACCACCACAGGGACAGTTAGATAACTACACACCTCGACAAATACCAACACAGGGACAGTCAGATAACTACACACCTCGACAAATACCCCCACAGGGACAGTCAGATAACTGCACACCTCGACAAATACAACCACAGGGACAGTCAGATAACTACACACCTCCACTAAGATCACCACATGGACAGTCAGATAACTACACATCTCCACTAAGATCACCACAGGGACAGTCAGATAACTACACACCTCCACTAAGATCACCACAGGGACAGTCAGATAACTATACACCTGGACAAAGATCACCATAGGGACAGACAGATAAACACACACTTGGATAAAGATCGCTACAGTGAAAACAGATAACTACACCATTTGAAAAAGAACACCACGGCGACAGAAAGATAACTACACAACTTGATAAAGATCACCACATGGATACATACATGTAGTCAGCTTAATACACACCTCGACAACGACCATCACAGGGATAGTCAGATAACTACACACTTCGAAAAAGATCACCACACGAAAAGACAGATAAATACACACCTCTACCAAGAACACCCTAGGGACAGTCAGATAACAACACACCTGGACAAAGATGACCACAGTGACAGTCAAATTACTAAACACCTCGACAGAGACCACAATTTGGACATTCAGATAACTACACACCTGGACAAATATCACCACTGGGGCAGTCAGATAACTACACACTTCGACAAAGATCACCACACGGACAGACAGATAATTACACACCTCGACAAAGACCATTACAGGGACAGTCAGATAACTACACACTTCGACAAAGACCACCACACGGACAGTCAGATAACTACACACTTCGACAAATACCACCACAAGCACAGTCAGATAACTACACACTTCGACCAAGATCACCACACGGACAGTCAGATAACTACACACTTCGACCAAGATCACCACACGGACAGACAGAAAATTACACACTTAGACAAAGACAACCACACGGACAGTCAGACAAATACACACCTCGACAAAGACCACCACACGGACAGACAGATAACTTAAAACCTGGACAAAGACCACTAAATATGGATCACCACACGGACAGACAGATAAACACACATGTTGACAAAGAAAAAACCACACGGACAAACAGATAACTTCACACCTCGACCAAGACCACCACACGGACATACAGATAACTACACACTTCGACAAAGACCACCACACGGACAGTCAGATAACTACACACTTCGACCAAGATCACCACACGGACAGTCAGATAACTACACACCTCGACAAAGATCATTAGAGGGACAGTCAGATAACTACACACTTCGACAAAGACCACCACAAGGACAGTCAGATAACTACACACCTCGACAAAGACCACCACACAGACAGACAGATAACTAAACACCTCGAGAAAGACCATTACAGGGACAGTCAGATAACTACACACGTTGACATAGAACACCACAGGAACAGTCAGATAACAACACACTTCGACAAAGACCACCATACGGACAGACAGATAACCACACACGTTGACATAGAACACCACAGGGACAGTCAGATAACAACACTCTTCGACTAAAACCACCACATGGACAGACATATAACAACACACGTTGACATAGAACACCACAGGGACACTCAGATAACTAAACACCTCGACAAAGATCACCACACGAAAAAGACAGTTAACTAAACACTTCGACCAAGATCACCACACGGACAGACAGATAATTACACACTTCGACCGAGACCACCACACGGAGAAGACAGACAACTACACACTTCGACCAAGATCACCACACGGACAGACAGATAATTACACACTTCGACAAAGACAACCACACGGACAGACAGATAACTACACGCCTCGACAAAGGTCACCACACGGACAGACAGATACCTACACACCTCGACAAAGATTATCACAGGGACACTGAGATATTAATATTTCACAGTCTTGTTAATTAAAAGTTCATTATCCTACTTCATTCTTAGTTAATTGCTCTAACAACTAAACTGATTAACCGTTTTCAGAAACAAAGGCTCATTAAAATACAGTGGTACATTGTAACTCTATCAAAGTCATAACTATTCATAGTGTCAATTTGTTTCATTCTAAGCGAAATTAGAGAGAAATTGGTTGTTTAATTTCAGTAAATTTGAAAGTGAGATACAATTGTCTTAGCTCTTTCTATTTTTCATTGAACTAGCCTGATCATTTGTCATTGTTACATAATACCTAGTATTGTACATGTAGTTCTTCAATAGACTTTTTGTTGAGGACTGAACATTTTTTGCTATATTAGACGAAACTGATTAATTATTTTAGAAACACAGAAACATTTACCATCATTTGAAATACCTTGATATGGAGTTGTGTCAATTCATTAATATATAACTACTGACATAATCTTTCTATATCTTTATATTGACTATCTATAAATGAGTTGCTAGAATCCTACCATTCCACCGACAGTACTTCAACCGGAAAATATGCTTTTAAAAGTAATCTTGGTGGAACACAATCCCATAACATATATATGCTACCTTAAAGAGGATAATATGTGGGGGGGATGCAGAAATATGGAGGCATCAACTTTGACGACTTGTAGTTAAGTAAGAAGATATAAATAATTAGGATATTATATCTTTTGTAATGTTCATTATGCTCTTGCAATTTGTCAATTTTAACAATGATAATCAGTAAGTTGAAAGATTTGTTTTTTAGCTGAATGATTATACATATTTGGATATTTATAATTCTCTGCCCACGAAGTTGGCCGCAGTCTTGTAGCTGAAATTGATTCTGACAGAATTAACAGGAAATACTAGATAAAGTAGAATTATATGTTTTAGCCTAAGGTGGTTTTATAGCATTAAAAGGGTTTTATAAGCATGTTTTTATTGTTTAATGTTTTACCTTAAGTACCGCTGATGTCCAAAATGGACGAAATAGCCATATTGAGCGTTAAAATGTTTAATATGTTTGCCTTTCTACACTTTCAAAAATGAATTCAGAAAAAGGTTTCACTTCGTCGTCTTGCTAGTGATTATACATGGTACATAGTGTAGTAACTTTAAGTCTTTATAAGGTTTCAGTTCTAAGTTGAAATCTCCACATTTTGTGGTTGATTGTACACGTGATTCGGACTATTCACAGTAATGAGAGAGAACTATTCGACTCTCCGACGGTAACTATGTCGATGTTCAGGTTTGATTCTATATTTAACTTCAGTTTGATGTCATATGAGACCTGTACAATGTTTGCCAAATATGATACACGTCAATAAGTGTACGTACATTGATTGACATGTTGTTTCCAGCTATAATTCTATGCGTTATATCTCATATACGACCTTTGACTTTTCTACGTAGTTTTAAACGTCAGAGTTATTGCCTATTGTTTGTGTAGGCGAGAAAAGTGCTGAAGAATCCTCCTTCATGGCGATTAATCGGCAATGACTGACGAGATCCAACACCCCCTTCCTGCACAACATTGAATCAGTTGTCTTGCATTTCGTTGATTTTATTTCAAAGAAGATTTATCGACACACTCAAGAAATATGATTATTTAATATTCCGAGTGCAGAACGTCAAATTCACAGCTACAGTATCACACGTGTTTGTACGATAAAAGAGGAACAAAACTGTTCAGATGAGCGTTCAATCCTCTGACAATCACTAATTTACTGAGCCAGTTGTAGTTAATTTCTCCTCGGTGTGATAAGGCAAGACTTCATCAATCTTTATTTCATATAGTATTGTAACAATTCATTTTTTTTTTATTATTTTTTTATATGTTTGACTTTTTGTTTTGTTTTCTGTTTTCCTTAATCGCCGGCTGTGTTTGGAGATTTCGCAAACAGAGAAGATATGATAATTGAAGATATTTGGAAATATGAATCTTAATTAGGATTATGTTTTATCCTGCATATACTTTTTAACATAATTTTAGCATTTAACATAATTGACCTTCTCAACATGGTGTGTTCAGTGCTCATAAATAAAATGAATAATTACGAACCTGTGAACATTAAAACTAAACTGATTCCCAATCTCTTAGTATGTAAGTTGCTTACGTCTGGGGTTTACTTTACACAATCAATATTTGTTAATTGAAACGCAGTTTTTAGGTTGGTTTAATGCTGGAGTTGGGCTAGTTGATGTTATTTGAGCGACACCTCCACTTAAAATACAACCTTCAGTGGATAACACGGAAACGCGTAAGTGCGAATTAATTTCAGTATTATGTACGGTAGTCATTTTTGAAATGGATTTTCTCACATGTTTTGTCGGTTTGTGTCCTTGACCTACATGGAAAAAAGAGTGAGGTATGGTATACAAAATAGAAGTTATATGCTATATCACATAAATATAAACTACATTTACCCTATTATCAGGGGCAAAACACTATTACATTAGAAATGCACAGTTTAATTTCACCTAGCAGAAAGGGGATTGGTGGTAGGTTCCTATTTTAAAATTATGACGTCATAACTAGAACACTTTCACGGTGACATATTTGTGACGTCCTGAAAGAAAACAAACAGAGTAAACATGTCAATAGTTTGGAGTCAGACCGAGAACTATTTGTTTTTACGATTTTATTTACGAAATCTGAAAACAGTTTTGGTTCACGGATATGTGAAATACATATTCCTACATGGTTTTCCATTTCATATGAAATTAATTAAACCCACCACGAGCTCGCTAAAATGATCAGTTCTTCGACTTTTGTATTATGAAACATATATTACATGTACATAAACACAAGTATCGAAGTAAGACATTTTGTTCTGACTCGCCAAGGCTCAAACTCACGATCTACGCCACAAAACCGCCCAGCCAATAAGTACAAGCGATGCCAACTGCTACATCACCGCCGATATAAACATTTTAGTTCTAATATTATTATGAAAATATCGTTAATCTGATCGTTGAAAATCGGGGGAGGTTATTACACTTGGACGTGACTGTTCTCGTTTGTCTGGCAAACACGTATTTTGTAGTGTTTAGTGGAATCCTGTTTATCAGGATTGATCGTTATCAGTTATCTGACAGCCACGATTTAATATATCGTGATTAAACAACAGGATATATCAAAAGCCCAATTCGGTATTTGATGATCAGTGACAAAATAATAAAGTATATGTCCGTAAAATGATGTACAACATCAATAAAAGATAATCTGCCTCAGTCAAATGATGGACTGCATCAGTAAAAGATAACCCGCCTCAGTCAAATGATGAACTACATCAGTAAAAGATAATCCGTCTCAGTCAAATGATGAACTACATCAGTAAAAGATATTCCGTCTCAGACAAATGATGGACTGCATCAGTAAAAGATAACCCGCTTCAGTCAAATGATGAACTACATCAGTAAAGGATAATCCGTCTCAGTCAAATGATGAACTACATCAGTAAAAGATAATCCGTCTCAGTCAAATGATGAACTACATCTGTAAATGATAATCCGTCTCAGTCAAATGATGAACAACATCAGTAAAAGATAATCCGTCTCAGTCAAATGATGAACTACATCAGTTAAGCATAATTCGTCCAGTCAAATGATGAACTACATCAGTAAAAGATAATCCGCCTCAGTCAAATGATGAACTACATCAGTAAAAGATAATCCGTCCCAGTCAAATGATGAACTACATCAGTAAAAGATATTCCGTCCCAGTCAAATGATGAACTACATCAGTAAAAGATATTCCGTCCCAGTCAAATGATGAACTACATCAGTAAAAGATATTCCGTCCCAGTCAAATGATGAACTACATCAGTAAAAGATATTCCGTCCCAGTCAAATGATGAACTACATCAGTAAAAGATATTCCGTCCCAGTCAAATGATGAACTACATCAGTAAAAGATAATCCGTCTCAGTCAAATGATGAACTACATCAGTAAAAGATAATCCGTCTCAGTCAAATGATGAACTACATCAGTAAAAGATAATCCGTCTCAGTCAAATGATGAACTACATCAGTAAAAGATAATCCGTCTCAGTCAAATGATGAACTACATCAGTAAAAGATAA